CGGAGGGAAAACTCTATGGTTTTCCCTCCGACGATCGGGGCCACGCCTTCAATGTGATCGACGTTGCACGTCACTTCTGGTGACATGCTGGTGGCACACGCGCGCATCGAAGGACGGCTCCCGGAGCCCGGCGAGGCTCCCCCGCCGGTAAGATATTTTGACTTGGCAACCCTTAAGGTGAACTAATCTTTGTTGCCCAGAGATCAATTGTGATAGTGAAGGATCGTCAGCCATCACCTGGAGACTGGCAACCCTATTGTGGTTGGAAGGTGTTTCCTACCTTGAAACAGGTGATGCCAGAAGAACGGGTAAGGTGCAGGCCTGAGGTACAGGCATCATGCCAAGGATGGAAGTAAATGTGTCTTTTTTGATTGATAGTAATTGTAGTAAATCCCTGGTATGAAGCTCATTGGCTGACCTAAGGCTATCGATCCTCTCACTGTGATCTTGTGTTGCCAGGTCCCTCCTGCCAACCAGCAGAGGATGAGGAGGTCTTACCAGGAGAAAGAGGAAGGTCCAGGCCATATTGCTGGCGTCATATAGGAAGTGGCATCATCACGCTGCAACATTGCTGTGCTGCTCTGGTATTTGAGCACTCTATGGTAAAAACAGCTTCTACTGTTGAGTTTTTGCTGAAATATCAGAGCATCACGCAGACATCGCTTGTGTGATGTCATCACTTCCTGTGCAACACCAGCAATGTGGTCTGGGCCTTTCTCCTGGTAAGTCCCCTTGCCATTCAGCTGATCGACAGCTGGGGCAGGCCTGATGGCAGGGGACCCCCACCTCCACTGGGGGTCTGGCAAGCCTATCGTGACCTACCTCACAGGGTTGTTGAGGGGTAAAAGTGGAGGAGAGGAGAGCCACATATGCTGCCTAGAATGGCTAATCTTCAGGTGGGGCCTGACAGTTTCCTGGAATTACAACGAATCTGCAGACTACAGAAATCAGCTTTGCTGGAGAAAATGGCTGCTCTGGAAGGTGGGCTCTATTCCATTATACCCCTCTGAGATCCCTCCACTCCTCAAACCCCACCCTTCCCAGGTTTCACTCCCAGATCTCCAGGAATTTCCCAACCCAGAGTTGGTAACCTTAGGCTTGGAGTTCTCTTAGAATTATAGCTAGGGAAAGGCACGAATCACATTTTTGTGGTTTGGTTCGTGGTTCGTGGCTGGGAGCCATTTAAACCACCCCTTTCTGCTCCTTGTGAAAAGCTGCAGAGAGCAGAAAGCAGGGGTTTAAATTGCTCCTGTTTAAACCAAACAGCTGTTTTTTGTGAAGACCAGAAAGCAGGGGTAAACCCTGCATTTAACCTCTGCTTTCTGCTTTTCATTAACCACCACTGTCCCGGTCCTGGGGTCTTGGAACATAACCCACACCCCTCAGGGACCCCAGTGGCCACCAACTCACCTAGAATACCCACAGACCAGGAACGCCTCACAACGCTGGACCCCGTCGGCACCGACGGAGCACAACAGCCTGGGCCAGCACAACCGCAGAGCGAAGAGCCTCGAGGAGCAGCAAGAGAGGCCAACAGTGCCCAGGAGAAGCTGATGACGAACACACAAACGCACAAGACCCTGCACACCCAGGGATGGTGTCGGAGCTTATCATAGGGGACGGGGCTGGGAGGAATCACAGGAAGGCGGGGCCGGGAGGCAGTGCTGGGAAAGGGAGCTGGGTATAAAGGAGAGGGAAGTGAAGGGGGCAGGGAAGAAGGACGTGCTCGGAACTACCTGTTGCTGCCAGGGAGAGAAGGAGTCCAGGGAAAACGCTGAGGAACTGGGAAGCCGATGCACGAAGGTAGAGGGACCTATGGAGTGCCATCAAACTCCGTCCCCTACCCATCTGAGGCCCCAACGCTCCCCCTCTTCTTTATCAGGCCTCACCTTCCAGAGCCGTCGGACCTCCCCCGCCTTGGGATGCCACGGCCACGGGAGAGGCTGCACCCGGAGCCCGGGGGGGGGGGCTTGAAAATCAAACGGCATCAAAATTTGTGAACGTTCATGGTGGTTCTTCAGTTCACGAACATTGCTTCATGAATCATGAACCAGCCAAAATTCATGACAAACTTCAGGTCATCAGTGGGTACGTCCCCATCCCTAATTACAGTTGATGTCCTTGGGGGAAATGACAGTTTTGGAGGAAACATGTCCCCACTGAGCTCAATCCCCTCTCCAAACCCTACTCTTGCCACGAAATGCCCCCAAATCTTTATGAATTTCCAAAGCCCAAGCAGGCAACCCTAAGAGATCCTAAAGGTACTGGTGGGATTAAAATGAATTAAGTAGATTATTCCAATATGCCCCTGAAAGAGCATTACACTCAGGGGATAAAAACCTCCTGGTGGTTCCCGGCCCGAGAGAGGTCCGGCTGTCCTCAACCAGGGCCAGGGGTTTTTTGGCCCTGGCCCCTGCCTGTTGGAACTCTTTGCCGGAAGACATCCATGCCCTGCAGGAGTTGCTACCTTTCTGCAGGGCCTGCAAAGTAGAGATGTTCCGCCAGGCCTTTGGTTGAGGACAGCGACAGGGGAACTATTACATCCGGTACTCTCATATATTTTCCCCATCCCTTGTAAACTCTTCCCCACCCCCCAAGTAGGCTGGGGAGTTGAATTACCCGAATGAATAAATAAATAAATAAAATTCCTTCCTCCCTGTAAGCCCCACAACAGCCCTATGACATTGGTTATGCTGAGACAAAATTGCTAGGCCAAGGACATCTAGGAAGCTTCCTGGCTGAGGGGAAATTTGTGCCTGGATTTCCCCAATCCTGCTTGCTGTAGTCTTTCTCTTGTTCTTTGATGTATCACTTCTGGGGATTTTCCCCCCCAGGGTTGGAATCAGAAACTATTTGCCCCAAGCTAATATTAATATTTACACAAATATGTCACTCTGTATATTTGGCAGGAAAGAGGTGGGGGTTGTCTGAAGGGTTTAAATGTTCAGAAAAGTAAAGGAAGGAGATTTTTGAGGACAGAGAGATGAAGACAATGACTGAGGAAAAGAAGGGGGTGATTTTGGTATAGAGCAGGGGCAGACTGGCCATAAGGTTGCCAACTTCCAGATGGTTGAGAAGAAGCAAACAACTGTGATGTATTATGCCAAAAAAGTCTTCAAAGTAGAAATTTCTTTTTCCAATATTCAGTTTACTGGAAGCAATTCAAACGCCATCAACACCAACGAACCATGCATATTATATCTCGTTTCGTGTATAACTTTATCAAAGTGGGTAGCGTTGAAATACAATATTAATCCATTTGACAAACTCTCTAGTAGTATCTCATAGTGATAGTCATCAAATCCACTAATGTGTAATGAATATTGGAAAAAGAAATTTCTACTTTGAAGACTTTTTTGGCATAATACATCACGGTTGTTTGCTTCTTCTCAACTTCCTTCCCGTGATCTCTCTCTTTGGTTTGCAACTTCCAGATGGCAGCTGGAGATCTGGGATTACAACTGATCTCAAGGTTACAGAGATCAGTTCCCCTGGACAAAATGGCCACTTTTGGAAGGTGGACTCTGTGACATTATACCCCATTGAAATCCCTCCCCTCCCCAAACCCCACCCTCCTGAAGCCCCACCCCCCAAAATCTCGTGGTATTTCCCAACCCAGAGCTGGCAACACTACATTAAACCCACTGGGAAATGTTCAAGTAGGCTGATGGCCTGGAGGACTGCCCCCTTTGCCCCCTTCTCTTGGGGCCAGCCTGAGCACAAGCAAGGGACCACGGCAACCTTCACCCTTCTCAAGGCATACAGCAGCTGCCACGAGCAGGAGGCCCTTGCCCCACACGGGGAATCATGAGAACAGCAAATCCCTGCTATGAAACTCCCTCTGGTTTTAGCTTCCATTTTGTCATCTAAGGCCACTTCCACACTGTCATTTTTGTCACTGTTTTGTCCCTATTGCTTTGGGTGTCCCCCCACCCACCCTTTCCACATTTGTTTTGCTCCCTCTGGGACTACTAGAGAGCAAAACACAGTGGGGGGGGGACCCCTGAAGCAATAGGGACAAATGAGTGACAAAAATTACAATGCAGAAGTGGGCTAAGTTTAATTCTGTATGCACATTTTTGCTATACCATGATTTCCCACTCCTCATTGTTAAATAACTCCTGTTTGTAAAGGAATAAAGCTTTACTAGAGGACTGTTGTTGCTGTTTTCTTTGGCTAGCAGTAATTGCCTTGAGAGCCGGTTTAGTGTAGTGGTTAAGTGTGCAGACTTTAATCTGGGAGAACCAGGTTTGATTCCCCACTCCTCCACTTGCACCTGGCTGGATGACCTTGGGCAAGCCGTAGTTCTGATAAGAGCTGTTCTTGAAAAAGAGCAGTTTCTGTCAGAGCTCTCTCAGCCCCATCTACCTCGCAGGGTGTCTGTTGTAGGGAGGGGAAGGGAAAGGAGTTTGTAAGCTGCTCTGAGACTCACTTGGGTAGTGAAGGGTGGGGTATAAATCCAATCTCTTCTTCTGTTCTTCTTCTTCTTGACCTGGATGGCCCAAGTAGGCCTAATCTTGTCAGATCTCAGAAACTAAGCAGGGTCAACCCTGGTTAGTATTTGAATGGATGACCTCCAAGGAATACCAGGATTGCTACTCAGAGACAGGCAGTAGCAAATTACCTCTGAATGTCTCTTGCCAGGAGACTTTGGGGGTAGAGCCAGGAGAAAGGATGTGATGCC